TGGTACAGTAAGCTGAAATGGTGGTGGTACGGCGGTTGAAGTAGGCTGCGGAGAAAACGCTGATGCTTGAGATGTTACCACGAGATGGGACCGTGGACCTAAGAGCATATCGTACAGAGTCTGGAAGGTACATGACTTCAGTTTCGTATCAGGGCGAAGCTGCTTGGGTGTTACTGACCTGCAACTGCTAGAGAGCATTGGATTAAGGAGATAGAGAAGGAAAAGCCGATCAACAGCCTCCTAACATTAGAGAAACGACGAAAAACGGAAAGAACAGCAAGGAAATTCGTCTGCCGTGCTCGTCTCAGGAGACGTGTATTGTTTAATGAGCCTACCTTTGGCGCTGGCAAGATGGTTATGTATCTCGCATGCTCCAGGCGCCCGACAACATTTCGACGCTTCGACGCGCCAGTACATCGTCATAACGTACAGCCCTACGCCGTGCGGCTGCATGTTAGCGCTCTGTACAGGTTTCGGTGTTGTTGTAAGGGGATACTCTGGCAACGGTGATGCAGCGATGGTGTTGGCGTAGTGCGATTCGCTGCTTTGGCGCTTGCTGGAGTCTGAGTTCGGCCTAGCGGCGAAGCACGTGCTTTGCAAGATGTCTCCATGGGCTCTCTTGAGCGCGTAGCAAGTGCCAATGGTTCGGCGACCTGCTCTCCAGGTTGACTTCGCGTTGAGATGAAACCATTCCAGTAGCAGCTGGCAAGGCTGCGGCGCTGATGGTGTTATCTGAAGACTCCAGTTCCCATCCAACCGGGCAAGCTGTGCCGTCATGGCACCCTTTGCTCCCAGAGTCTCGCGTCGCAAAGCATCAGAAGCCTACCTCGGAGAAGGCAATCCAGCGTCATAATGTGGCCCAGAAGACTACAATAACGTATTCGAACAGGAGTTACAAACAACACGGTGTTGCGAACCGGTGGTGGCACGCACACCGACCTCACTGTATCTGCCTTTCGAGCCGCTAGCGTAAAGGCGCTCGTGGCCCGAGTAGTCCCTCAACGGTGCAATGCTTCTTTTTACTCATAAGCTCGAGCGGTGTGAAATAATGTTGTTGCTAGTTCTACGACATGAGCGCAGCAGCGCACCGTTTGCAACTCACAGTCACTGCCCGGTTGCGCTCACTACGTTCCTGCCCTTTCCATCTCGTTTGATCAGCGACGAAGCTGTGAACAATCTCACACTGCTGGTTGCAAGAGATGACATACCAACAATCTTGAGAGCGTGATCGATCATCAAGACTCTGGAGCTCACAGGCAGCAACTCACGGCTGCTGAGTAGCAGCCTGAGCTGGACGAACTCGTCAAGGGATGGAGGCCCGCCTTAGTTGGCTTATTGAAAGTGGTTCTGCGCGACACCGTTCACGATTACCTCATCACGTCCTAACCCTCGTCACGGAGGCTGCGAGTCTCAGGATACTTTTGCTCAAGTCACGGACGCGTTCAAAGGCTTTCAAGCAGCGGCTTATCTCCCGGAAAGGCAAGCGCAAACGTGCTCCTGCCAAAGCTGTAAGCACCAGTCTCATCCGCATTGGGCTTTCCTCAATTGGCGCCTCTTCCAGAACATCAAAACGAACGATGCAGAGTCGTTCCTTCCTGCTCCCGCTCATTCTGTGCTCCCCATTCGGCATTTGCCCCACAGAAATCGCATATCGATACACGATATGCCCTTGAACCAGAATTCATGGCGCCGTTCTGCACTCCGACCGGGTGAGCAAGCGTACAGCTCTCAGAAATCGGCACACGCGCGCCTCTTCAACAACATCACTGGGTCCCCTCCCGCCGACACGAATTACTATGGAAAGCCACCACTATATGGTCAAGCTCTGCAGAGCTTTGATGAATTATGGCGCCCCGAGTCATCGGCTGGAGGAATACATGTTAACAACAGCACGCAGTTTAGGCATCCAGGGCCAATTTCTCTACCAGCCCCGGTGCATGGTTCTGGCATTTGACGACCCACTAGGCCACACCACGGCCGTAAAGCTTGTACGTACTGGCGGCGGACTCAACTTTGGAAAACTGGAAGACACATACAAGGTCTACAAAGACGTCTTTCACGGTCGGATGACGGCTGCTCAAGGCGACCGACGTCTGACCGAGATCGAGTTGCGCCGCAACGGTATTCGTCGAAAATATCAGGTAGTCATGTACGGCCTGGCATCAGCATCCGTGGGACCTTTCGGCTTTCAAGCCGGCTGGAATGACCTGCTCTGGTGCTTCGCACTCGGCTGCATCGTCGGCCTACTGGTAGTTAAAGGTGTCCCACGGTCCAACCGATTCGCCAACTGCTTCGAGTTCATGGCGGCTGCCGTGACCTCCTTCATCGCCCGAGCCGTTGGGAGCATCGACGACGGAAACATCTTCTGCTTCTCCGCGCTGGCCCAGTCAAGCATCGCTCTCATCTTGCCCGGTTATATATTCCTTCGCGCGTTAGTGGAGCTGCAATCAGGGTCCATCATATCTGGCTCCGCTCGCATGGTGTATGCCATAATGTACTCCTTCTTCCTCGGCTACGGTATCACCGTGGGCACCGTACTGTACGGCTTCATCGACAGGAACGCCATATCAGAAACGACATGTCGATATCCAATTCCCTGGAGGTGGCAACCTGGATTTGTAGTGGCATTCACATGTTGCTTGATCGTTATCAACAAGGGAAGATGGAAGCAAGCACCTGTCATGGTGGCCGTATCATTGGGTGGCTGGGCCGTTACTTACTTCAGCACCCGGGCTGGCCTGAACAACGCGCAGATCAGCAGCACGCTTGGTGCGCTGACGATAGGGCTTCTGGCTAACGGCTACTCACGCGTCTGCGACGGGTTCGAGAACAGAGCGCTGAATTGGTGGGATATGCAAGTACGGACACGGCTACACAAGGTCGAGGTTTGGTGCGTTCTGCCACTTTCATCGGTTTCATGGCGCTCTTTCCGTCTCCTAATCACTACCAGGCTTCACTCTTACTTTGACTCCAGCGGCCCCGCCGCCTCCAATCTCACCGAAGACTACTCACTGCCAAGAAGACGCAAGGACGGCTACGCCCTCGCCGCCACCGCGATGCTTCCAGCGATATTCGTCCAAGTCCCTTCTGGCCTCGCGGCAGGCGGCTCCCTCGTCGCCGGCATCATCACGGCGAACGGAATCACCCACCCCGCTCTTGTCAGGACAGCAATGGCGGCCGGCGTAGAGCAGAACGCGGTGATTCTGCTGAATTTGGCGGCATTTAGTGTCGGATATACTGTCGTCCAGGTTGCGATTGGAATCACGGTTGGCTTGTTTTTGAGCTCGTGGTTTGTTTATCTGTTTCCGGGGAAGAAAAAGAGCGCGTTGTTTAGCTTTTGAGGGGTGGTGGATTGCGGTTGGTTGCGTACGCGGGAGGGTTCGTTTACATTGTGCGGCGATTTTTCTGGCAGGATTGATGTTGCAAGGTTGGGCTGAATATCACGAGCTATTACCCCTCCAAACATACTCACGATATATGTATGTGCGGTAGTAGACGAAAATGCGATCATCATGGGATTGAACAACCTTGCTACCTCCGATGGTCTGATAGTGATGATTTGCTCTTGTCATCTAATGTTCCTGAGACGACAGTACCGCAGTTGCGGCCAGACTCCTCAAACTTCCTCTCCCCAATCCACCGATAACCGGCGGTACAAATGGATCTGATACCGCATATTCTCCAGCTCGATCGGATACTTTAGCCCATCCGGCAGCCGAAACCAGCGGCTCTCGTCCGTGGCAAGCTTCTCCCAGTGTCGAATTCCATCATTGCTGGCTTCCTCACCGCATACACTGCCTAACAGTGTATGGTCGAGCAACCAGTGCATCGGATATTTCTTCTCCGCTCCATTCAGCGTAACCGCGGAATAGCTGCCCGGGCTGTCGACCACCAGTAGTAGTGCGCCAGGTTGAAGTGTGGATGTGAGAGCCGCAAGGAAGCGCTGGGTTTGCGCCAGAGAGGTTGTGTAGAGCTCGTTTAGGGTGAACATTAAGGTCACCAGCTCGGCGTCTCCTACTAACGCAGCAAGACTTTCTGTAGATGTGCTGAGGAGGTCGGCTTGGTGGAAGCTCGTGTGGAAGAACGTGCTATCCAGAAACGGCGTGTTATATGCCTTGGCTGCTGCTGAAGCGTACTTTGACAGCGGCGGAGGACTGCCGATACTGTCATGGAGCTTTTGGACGACGGTGTCCCAGTTTGCTATGTCTACGCCTTTGACTGTAAGTTGCAGACCATTGATCTTCGCATGCTGATGGTCTCCGTCCTCTTCCTGGTTCTGCTTCATTCCTCGATTGTGGAGATTGAGAAAGCCAGCCAGTGCTACGATTTCTGCGCCAGCTCCTCCGCCAAGGCAAGTAATGTTGAGCTTTTGGCTTCCAACGCCGGTTTCGGGTGATTCGGACGAGAGACTTTGAGCATCATCGTGATGTCTGCTAGGAGGTCTCCGTAGATATTGCTCGATATCAAGAAATGTTTGCAGGTATCCTAACGCTCTGCTGGGACTCCATCGTACGGCATATGCCTCCAGGTAATCTTCTCTGCCGAATGCCTTACCGAACTCTCGGTTGTACAGATGCTGCTTCACTTCCTGGAGCAGTGGTGCAAGATCCGGACCAAACCGCTCTGGAAAAGAATTTCTGAAGATATTCAGGAGTAGCTGCTGTAGCTCCAAGGGGACAGTGCTCGACAAAGTGGCCTCTGTACCCAGCTCTCGAGATTTCGGTTTTCTCTCGTTTCCCGGCTTTTGCTTGGATGCGGCTTGTTTCTTGCTGCTTGCCTTGTCAGATTTCGCTGAACTACCTGGTGCCATCGTGTAACAATCGTGAATCGGTGGTGTTTTCAATAAAATGAGGTCGAAAAGATGCGATTGGCCCACTATCGATAAGAATTGGAGACGTCAGCTTCGTCAGGAATTATACTTCAACATCCCAAAAAGAGCTCCCTAAAGCCAACCATTCGGACGTACTTGATGCAGCAAAAGCAAAAGAAAAATTTGATGTTGCTACGGATGCGGTTCGAACGCATGCGGGTTGCCCCAGTAGAGTTCCGAATTGAACTTAAATCTACCGCCTTAGACCACTCGGCCACCGTAGCGAAATAATCAATATTTTTAGGGGTTACATGTATATATACCAAACACTACGGCGACAGACGCTGTGATGTTTTGACATCGTCAAGCGGAATCTCCAGTACACCGATACTCAAATTCAGTCCACCTCAGATGTTCACGGTTTACCCCGGTCCACAATGTCAGGAAGACGAAGTCTTACAGTGTCCCATCACAGAACTGCCGTCCATTGATCCCGTCGACGAGGGGTCCGGATGTATTCTTATCAGTATCGATAAACAAATCAACCTCGGCCTTCGTGCATTCGAGTGGACTTGCAACATACTCGATATACTGGCCTCAAGCTCATAAAACGGAGTCAATTGACTTGAGGACCATAAGGTTCGATCGTACCGTTTGATAAACAGTTATCGTAGCTCCATCTTAACTATGCGTCTCGACTACGTCCCGAATCCCCCTCAATTCGAGAACGAGGAGGACAAGGCTGTGGTAGAAAGAGTAAAAGAGCGAAGAGGAGAACGTGGCCTTCAACCCCTAGATCTCACTCTGTTGCACTCTCCACCAGTAGCAGATGGCTGGTAAGCAACATTACGCCAACGTGTCCCAAGAGCTTCTCCCGACTATGAACATCCATGAGGCATACACAACTTAAGCTATACGTAGCTAACATACCCCCAGGAACTCCTTCCTCCGCGCAATCCGCACCCAAACCTCCCTCCCCACCTCCGTCCGCGAAGTCGCCATCTGCCGCGTCGCGATCCTAAACAAAGCCTGGTACGAATGGGACCACCACGCGCCCCTCCTCCGCAACGATCCCGCCGCCGCCGTATCCTCCGAGGGCGTGCAGTACATCCTCGAAGCACCGCCGCACCCCTCACCCGGCCAGGGACCTCTAGACGACAAGCACTTCGCGGTGCTCGCTTACACCGATGCTATGACGTTAGATGTGAAGGTACCGGATTTGGTTTTTGATAGATTGAAGAGGGAGTTCTCGGATAGGGAGGTCGTGGAGATCACGGCGACGGTCGCGGCGTATAATACTGTTAGTCGGTTTTTGGTGGCGCTGGATGTGGGGGAGAAGAATGCGCAGGAGGGGCCGAGTGCTGCGCATTGAGGTGGTGGATGTGGGAGAGCTGCAATTGTCAGAATGAATTTCGGAATGGCTGTGTTCTTCCTTTGGCTCTGCTTCGCTGATTCATGAGGTCTGAAGGACCTTTACGAGGCTGTGCTTCGTGAACCGCAGCAGGGATCGACTTGCTAAGGCAACATATCATAAATGGTTAAACGTGCATCTGGCGGCTGCGCTGTTAGCTCTGTTTTGGAACCACAAAGGCAGCCACCCAGCTTTCTTCAGCACTCAGAAGGCTCTCGCGAAACGTGAGATTAGAGCAAGTTGCGCATTTCTAATTCTCGTACCTGAGAGGACTACAATGCTTGTATACAGGAGATGAGAAAGATTTTGTGCGGATATTACGAAGGAGAAGCGTAGCCGCACCATAAGCCAGCCTCCTGAGTCGCCGCGAGACGTTCCATTTTTTTCGCGGGTGGCTCCCAGGCGCCACTCATCCGCCCATCAATCCATCCAAGTGACTGGAGAGAAAAGAAAAGAAATAGGCTGCCCAGCCTTTTTTCAAGGCCTTCAATACCCCCGATAAAGCGGGTCGGCATACCTCAGCCGTTCATCCCGCCTAAGTCTCTCTTCCTGCCTAAGCCTTTCTCGTTCTTCCTGCCTGATCCTCTCCTCCCTCCTCAAGTCATCCCGCCTAAGGTCCTCTCTCCTCAGTTCCTCAAACTCCCTCTCCTTCAGCCTCCTCTCCTGCTCCAGCCTCCGCTGATACGCCGCGCGCTCGTTCTGCAGGACGTGCTCGGCCATCGCGTCCTCCTTCCGGCGCAAGTCCGCCAGGTAGTTGGCCGCCTCCCAAGAGTAGGGATCGCGGGGCCGAAGAGCTTCGAGCCGCCTTGGTTCGTTGTAGCGGTACGCCTCAGCGGCATAGGGGTTATACGAGATTACAGCCGGCCGCTCGGGGGTGCGGGCACGGATGCTAGAGCGGCGCTCGATGCGAGGCGGGTACCCGTAGCCGGGGACAACGTCGACACATTCGCCGGCATGCTCGCGGCGGTAGCGGTGAGGCGAGCGGCCGTGTCGTGGTGGGGACGGGGCATAGGCAGGTGGCTTTTGGTGGACCCGCTCTTTCACGCGCTGCCGGTGGCGCTCCTCATCGGATGAGGTTCGGTGGAGGCTGCCGCGGCGGTGTTGCTGCTGGTCGCGACTTCCACCGCTGTAAGAGGTCTGGGCGGTGAAGTCGCTGCCGCCTGCGTCGGAGAACTGAGACGAGCCGGCTCGGCCGCGGTACTCGGAGTTGTCGGAGGAGCTGCCGGCGGAAAGGACATCCCAGTCTTTGACCTTCCGGCGAGGACTCTTGGTTGGGTTACGTTCAGAGTGGATTGTTGTTTCCTTGATGTAAGTCCTAGATGTCCGGCGGCGCGGTTCATTGTTGTGATTTTGTTTATGCTCGGACTTGTGGGCAGGAGTCCGTCCGACGTTGCGGCTTCTGCTCTTCCTTTGCTTCATCTTTACGGTCTCGACAGCTGACGATCGCCCACGGGGACCCCTGTGTTTCTTGGACTTTTCGTCAATGATGCCTACAATTTCATTCGGATCATTGAGATCCTGCCCGCTGTCATCGTCACTGCTGCTGTCATCGTCACTGCTGCTGTCGGTCAAGACAACTTCTGCAACGGCCGATCCCCTGCGAGGTGGCTGGTGCTGTCCTGGCTGTCCCGGTGGCGGAATCGGTATGTTGTCGTGCATGCCCGTCGGTCTTCCTGGGTTAGGCATCATTCCTGGATTAGGCATTATTCCTGGATGAGCACCGGGCGGGGGACCACGCATAGCCGATTGGAAGTGCGGTTCCGGTGGAGGAATGCCTGGGAACAAGCCCGGTGGGGGATTGCCCGGGAATGAACCCGGTGGAGGCGGGCCTGGGAACGAACCAGGCGGAGGAGTTGGCCGTACGTTAGGCGGTGGCGGTTGATTTTGTGGAGGCCCCTGTGGCCGGTTTTGCATGGGTGGCAGCATGGGCTGAGGAAGCGGAGGTAAAGGGCCAAACTCGGAGGGCATAGGACGTGGAGGTTGTGGCATTGGCATAGGCATTGGCATCGGCTGCTGTGTTGGTTGAGGCATTGGTTGGGGCATAGTCGGCCGCGGTTGCTGCTGCGTCTCTATTGATGCCATACCCGGCATGGTGTCTCTTGGTGCCATACTCGGCCTGGTCTCCCTTATGGGGATTGGTTCGTCAAGATTGACATGCGTGGGTACGGCGTAGGTGCCAGAGGTCCTGCGGTTTTGAGCGCCAAGGTTGTTCTTTGGCTGACGCTGCAGGATCACATTGATGGTGACGGTCTCTATGGTTTTCCGGCCGACCTGGTTAATTCTGGTCTCCACGCTCGCCAATGTCCACTCCGCGTGGGGATTTTCTTCCTCCATCGCCTTCTCAGTGATCAGTCGATTAATCTGCGCTCGTTGATTATCGGACGTCAAAGCCATGAACTCGTCAGACACGGTTTTCTTAGCCTTCAGGCGACGTTCTCGAACGCGCTTCTCAAGCTCGTCTGATGATACGGGCATTACAGTTCTATTGGCGTTCCGCCATCCGACCTTCTCCCCGGGCGGAAGCTCTTCTTGCGGTACTTTGCGGAAGGTGTAGCCCTGATAAGTGGTAGGGAAGTCTTTGGGATGGGCATGCCTGTTCCCTTGGGCTTGACCTAGACCGTGGCCTTGGTTCATCTGCATTCCTCTCGGCGGACCGAAATCGCCATTGGATCCGCCTTGTGCCCCGGGTGGAGCCATCCTCATCCCTGGCGGCGGGGGTGGAGGAAGTTCTGGTTAGGATGTCCCTCCATCATGTTCGCGGCAGTGACAAGAGGGCTGCCACAATGGAAATTGGTTGATTGAAAGAATTGAGATGCGAGGTGAACAGTCAGAGGAGGATAATGATCTCAAGGTGACGACAAGAAGGGTAAGGGCAAGGGCATGCAATTGATGAGTCAAACAATTGCCTTAGAGAACGGACGGCAGGATTGTAACGGACGGGCCGAGTAAGTTTTGAACGAGAGTCGGAGGCTCATGGAATATAAGTATGAATGAGAGCCTCGCGTCTCCTCACCTTCTCAGGGTGCTGTCTGCCTTGCTATCCGGCGCTGCCGGTTGTGTTGCTCGATCCGCGGGTCGAACATTTGGATGCTGGTCGAGTGCATCCTCCCATACAAACACTTGACGGTTAGGCGCAACGTCTGCAGTAATTGGACGATCCAATCGACGCGTGCATGAGATACGCCCCGAAAGGCGGCTGTGGTTCGAGGGCGAAGCGACCGGTCAAGGCAAACGCTTCATCGATGCAGCATCGAACGCTAGTGCAAGGCAGCAAGGACATGTCCGCCTCATCTTCAAATCAGGATTCTGCTTCTCCAGACCGGCAGGAAGATCAACTAGTAGTGCGGCTCTCGTCGCCTATTCCGTTCACCGGAGCCAGCGAAAGCAGAGTTCTTGAACTGGAGAGCTGTCTATGGTGCATGCTAGTGACGCAGCCGGGCAACACAATGCAGTCATGAGACCAGTAACGTCCACCTGCAATGCGCGGTCTTGTCGGGTCTCTGGTTCTCGGATAGGGCTGTATATGGTAAGCCAGAGCAAACTGCACAGCTTCGAGACATGCCACAGCATAATGGCTGAGAGAAACACGACCGAGTCAAAGCCTCTAGGAAGGGCGCAATGCCTAGAGTACGGCCGTAATAATCGCAATGTCTCAGGAGTGACAACATAAACCGAGGATATCGAGGATCAGCTGTGGATGGGCCAGCATGTCAGGAGATGTGAACTGTGAGCCTCCTGAATGGCCAGTATCCCGGAGGTTTCAATTGCTTCAAAGACGTCCAGATAAGACACCAACAGTCAAATGTCCACGTGATGTACCATCTGGCAATCCCTCCCGTCTTGCATCTCTCCCTCCCCTCCTCTGTCAACATC